CAACTCAAGACTACCCTGCCTTCACTCTCTTTGATATAAGAGGGAGGGAAGGACAACTCCCATCAATATTATCACCATATGTTGCAATATTATGACCATATCAGCAGAGTTCTAGTATCTATGTTTCCTGACGATGTCCACCTTGAAGGGCTAATAGAAACTCAAAAATAGGATTAAACTCATTGCTAAACACCAAGGAAAGCTAAATTGAAAAGAGCCAACATGAGACCGCAACTACGGTACCTAATTGGATAGAGATAGTTAGGATGTCCAGATTCAAGGATGCAGTCACTGAGGGACCTGGCAGTTTAGTCTGTTCAGGTTAGGTTTTGTCTTGATGTTGAATCCCAGTTCATGATCTGTATTAAAGAGGGGCCCAATCTGTGACCTCACTGGAAAGACAGTACTATTGAGTTTAACCCCTAATCCAGGAGACGCAACAAGCTCTGCATTTTGTTTATAGAAATGGTGCATGCATATGTTCTAGCACCGTGATGGTGAACCTATGGCACGCGTGCCACAGATGGCACACGTAGCCATATCAGTGGACACGCAGGCCTTCTGGGCCTACCAGAAGCAGGGAAACAGACTAGTTCCTGCCTCTGGAGGGCCTGGGATGGGGTGGGGAAGACCCGTTTTTCTTTCTCACCTGACTCCAGATCCTCTCTATGCACCTGGGAAGGGCAAAAGCAGCCTTCCCCACCCCCTCGGAGGCCCTCCGGAGGCCAGAAACAGCCCGTTTTCCAACTTCCGGTTGGACAGGAAGTGGCGCATAGAATTATGGGTGTGGGCATGTGCATGTGCGAACCTCCCCTGCCCCCGCTCCTTCCATGCAATGGCAAAAAGGTTAGCCATCACTGCTCTAGCAGATCTTGAGTTCAGACCTACCATATCCAGGGCCTGCACATTGGTTTGTTTGTAACTCTTCATAATACAGGGGCAGACATGCCCTGGGGAAGGCCCGAAGACTAGCTCAGCATTCCAGGAAGTAAGATGGTGCTTTAAAATGGGGCTGCCCAGAAATATTAGCAATAGAACTTAGATTTATATACCATTTCATAATGCTTTTACCGCCCTCTCTAAGCAGTTTATAGAGTCAGCATATTGCCCCCAACAATCTGGATTCTTATTTTACTGACTTCAGAAAGATGGAAGGCTGAGTCAACCTAGAGCCAGTCAGAATCGAACTGCTAGCAGTGAGCAGTGAGTTAGCCTGCAATACTGCATTCTAACCACTGTGTCACCACAGTTTATTGAACTGTTGTCTTGACACTTTCTTGATCACCAGGCTGTATAGCTTTAAGTACAAAGCTATGTAGCCCATTTAGACAGTGCCAGATCAGGGAAATCTACTTTGCCTTGATAGACCATTCACTAGGTGGCAAATTTTAGATTTTGGGAGAGATTAGACTTGCCATAAAATGCTACTTTAAGTGGACCTTTATTTTCCTAGAGAAAGCATTTTTATGTTTCTTTATGTGTATGCACTCACGTGAGAACGAGCAAGTGCATGAGAGAGTATGTTGACTCAAGGGACAAATAAAAATAGGGTTAAACTTGCATAAGTTAAAAAAAAAACCTATATGAGGTTAGGCAGAAGCATGTAAAGACAGATTGTTTGTATCTGGTGATTTTCATTTTGGCAGACAAAACAGATCATTTCATTTATTGATTTATTGTGTTCTATAAACTCTACATCAGATCTAAATTAGGACTTCTAACATGCAATTTTCTTCTCCATTGCTTTTGATTGTCTCTGTGAAAGTCTGTTTAAATCAGACAAGGTTCCTCCCCCACCTCCTCCTTTACTGCTCTGGATTGGCTTTGTGGGTTTATAGCATTATTATGAAAATATTTTTTAATTTTTTTTTTTGAAAAAAGCAAATATAAAGCTTAAGAAAAATCAAGTGCCATTACAAAGGTTCTGGTTGGACTTTCAGGCTCTTTGTCCTCCATTTCTTTCATGTAGCAATATAAAGTCTTAATTTCTGGAGAGTTACATGACTCTAGGTGGATGTTACATAACACTTGTCTAGCCTATAATTCATTGTAATTTGTCATAAAAATAGCTTCTGTAGAAATCTATGGAGATTCTCAGTCATCCAGGTCATGGCTGTCCAAAGGTGTTTTTTCAAGAGGCAACTGGACTTTCTGGTTTTTCTTTGAAGACATTTCACTTCTTATTCAAGAAGCTTCTTGGATGAGAAGTGAAACATCTTCAAAGAAAAACCAGAAAGTCCAGTTGCCTCTTGAAAAAGCACCTTTGCAACAGCTTCAGTAGAGGTGTAGAAAGGTATTCTTTTTATCCGTATATATTCTGAAAAAATATCATTGGCACAAAGCCAGAAGGGTGACCTTGGATCAGTCACACACTATCAGCCCTAGAAAAGAGGCAATGGCGGACCATTTCCAAAAGACTTTGCCAAAAAATCTGCAGGGGCTAGTCCAAAACAATGGCGCCAAGAGTCAACACTGACACAAAGGCGCATGCATTCACACACACTGAAGACCTGGATGGGAGGAGAGGAAACTAGTTGTGTCTTTCTTTTTTTCTTTTTGCATGGCATGTGAGTGAATACATTTTTATTCTTTCAGGAGATTTGACAGTTCAGGGAGTAAGACGTGGTATTCTCTGATGGTTCTCAGCATTTCTAGCTGGGTAGAATTGATACTGATAAAAAAATTCTGCTGCAAATTTTGGATTTTGTGAGGGATTAGGGGGTGGAAATAGAGTGAAAAGCATGCTTGGTGGAAGTCCCCTTTAGTTGCAATATTGCTGTGTATCTGTAAAAGTTAACCTGGGGCCAATTTCTTTAGTAAAGTCTAGACCAGAGGTGGGGAACTACTAGTGCCCCTTTATAATTTGTGGACTTCAACTCCCAGAATTCCTGAGCCAACCATGCTGCCTCAAGAATTTTGGGAGTTGAAGTTCATAGGTCATAAAAGGGTCATAGATCTCCACCCCCGGATCTAGATGATTATAGCCTACAGAATCTGAATGGTAGAGCCAAATTGGACTCAGCTGCAGATGAACTAGAGCTATAGTTGGACATGGCATTTGTACTCATCTGGAACTCATTCATACTCTCGCAATAAGGGGTAATGGCAACAGAAGTTAAGAGCAAGGAAAGAAAAACCTGTAGCAGGTCATTCCAATTTGCAGACAGAGACCATCTTTGTCAAACTGTAGTGGGTTCAAACTTATTTTCTCCATCTCGGATATATGAAAACCTGTTTCGCATTATCCTGCTTTAACTTATGATACGATCTTGGCTTTGGATGCACATATATAAATTACATATTTGCTTCCCAATTCTGTCTCAGTAAATTGCTAAATGTGCCCGTTGTTTACAAAGACATATGTCTTGTAGCATTTATAGAAAAAAAAAACAGATGGATTTAATCATATCAGCTTTATCACTATTACTTATTGACACTTGTGGCAGTATGGTGGAAATATATTTACAGAAATTTCATCTAGAAGGATGTGGGGATTATGACAAGCATATAGTTTTTAACTAGACACATTATCTCTGTTTTGAGTAATTCCTGGAGGTCCTCACACACTGTGCCAGATTGACATTTATAAAAGGGGGAAATGTGTCTTTGAACATGTAGATTATACATGTTTTAATAGGTCCCTTAGTAGCAGCTAAATTGTATCCCAGTATATATGAAAATAATTATATTGATAAGAGTAATTGCAAGTTAATGATACTTTCCAACTAAAATACACATTGGGAATGAGACTATAGAAAACTTGATGACTCCTCACTGTCCCTTTTCTAAATTCTGGAAGAAATAAATTCTGGGACAAATTACATCTTAATTGTGCACATTGTGCATAATGTGCATGGCAATTTAAAATGCAATTTGTTTTTGTCGTCTTCTTCATCTTCCTCATATTTGTCTAATTATTAATTAGAGAAATTAATCAACTCTCAGCAGACTTGAACAGTGGGGCTTATCTAACAAAATGAAATTCAATGTAGGGCAGGTCTGTCAAACTGGTGGCCCGCGGGCCAGATGCATCACACGCAGGCCACACCTAGCCCAGCTCCGCAAAGGCAAAAAACATTGCGATATGTCACGGTACGTCATGTGACGCGATCATGTTTGACACCCGTAATGTAGAGAAAAGCAAGGTTTTACACTTAAGCAAGAAAAACCAAATGTACAAGTACAGATTAGGTGAAACTTGGCTCAATAGCAGTAACTGTGAGAGGGATCTTGGAATCCTAGTAGACAATCATTTACATATGAGCCAGCAATGTGTTACAACAGTCAGAAAAGCCAATGTAATCCTAGGCTGCATTAACAGATGGGTAGAATTAAGATCACGTGAATTGTTAGTACTGCTTTATAAGGACTTGGTAAAACCACACTTGGAATACTGTATCCAGTTTTGGTCACCACAATATGAAAAACAAGTTGAAACTCTAGAAAAAGTGCAGAAAAGAGCAACAAAGATGATTAGGGGGATGGCGTTAAAACATATGAAGAATGATTGCAAGAATTGGGTATGCCTAGCCTAGTAAAAAGAAGGACTAAGGGTGCCATTAAAGCAGTCTTCCAATATTTGAGGGGCTGCCACAAAGAAGAGGAAGTCAACTTATTTTCCAAAGCAGGTAGGTAAAACAAGAACCAATGGATGGAAACTAACCAAGGAGAGAAGTAACCTAGAACTAAAGAGAAATTTCCTAACAGAGCAATAAACCAGTGGAGCAGCTTGCCTTCAAAAGTTGTGGTGCTCCATCATGGCGGCTTTTAAGTAGAGACTGGACAGCCATTTGTTTGAAATGGTATAAAGTCTCCTGTTTGAGCAGAGGGTTGGCCTAGAGGCCTCTGAGGCCTCCCTTCCAACTCTGATGTTCTATGTTCTATATCAGGGAAAGAATGCCAAGCACAGATTTCTGGGACCTGAAAGAGCTCAAAGTTGTGGTATAACAGAATAGATTTGATATGTTTTTTTCATGACCAACATCTGTTGTGTCTTCCAGCTGAAATCTCGTGTTCTAATGACTCCTTTAGCAATCTCCCCACCAAGAAGCACCCCAGAACCTGACATTAGTTCAATCCCCCAGGATGCGGCTACAATTCCCAACTCGGCAGCACCGCAAGCCCTCACAGGTATGTTGAATCAAACCCGCCAAAATGAAAGCCTGGTTTTACATCCAATATTTTTTAAGAAAGCTTTCTTCCCTGTCCTTCTGAGAGCCCCAAGACAGCTTATCAATTAATTTGCCAGCTGTCTTTCCAAACTGATGTTTTCCTCTATTTTTGTTTTCAGTATTATTTGCTCCTTTGGTTGTACATAATAGAAAAAAAGATGCGCAGAAGCAACTTGTGTACTGACTGATTTAAGAGACCCTGTGCCACAGGCTGAAAGTAAAATATGGGTGCTTTTGCATGAATAGATTCATCATCAGAACTTAGAAAAGCCATCTGTGCCCCTCATTTGTGCTTACAATGGGTTCTCCTGCTTTGTTTACATCTTCCGCTTTGTTATGTAGGCTTTTAGTGGCTTACAGAGCTATGTGATGCTATTATTGCCATTATCCCCATATTTATCCAGAATAAAATGCTTTGAGACTTTTTATTGTTCAGTCTGAGTAGCTGTTTAACACTTCAAGTGCTACATTTTTATTATGGTTATAATAATTGTCTATTATCCACAGCATTGCACATCTATCTCCTTTGCTATGTAATAATTTCTTTGTCACCTCTCTAATTTCTGTCACAGGATGTTGATATATGTTCTGAATGATGACAACTCTAATACTTTTGTGGCCAGCAATAATAATGTGTCTTATTTTATTATGACTGAGACCAGGTCTGTTAAGACATAGTCATAAATAGACCTGCATACAGTAGAATATCCTTCTTAAAAGAAAAAAGTTCTGGTATATCAAATGTTAGCACTGTTGTTCTAGAAAAGACCAATATTGATACTACAAACTACTGTATTAATCTGTGCAACTACATAATAGATTGGATTAAGGTAATTTTGTATTTTATAGTAATAAATTGCATTGAAAGTTTAAACCCAAGTTGTATGGAATATAAGATACGATGGAAGACTCAGTAAAAATCTTTATGCTGACCTCTGGAATAATTAGAGAAACATGGATGAAGAAAGAGTAACAATTCCTTTTCTTCCTCAGAAACTGTAACTTTTTTTAAAAAAATTCATTTTATCAAATTTTAACCATTTTTATTTCTTGCTTTCTTTCACATTTTATACTCATGATTTTCTTCATTATATAGAACCAGGGCTTTCAGCTCATTCTATATGCCTAAATTTCTGGATTTAATTGGAAATCCTTCAGAAGTGTAGACTGTTCTCTGGAAACAAATCAACAAATATATTCCTGTATGTCTATTGAGATTCTCAGTCATCCAGGTCATGGTTGTGTCGCAAAGGTGCTTTCTCAGGAGGCAAGTGGACTTTCTGGTTTTTCTTTGAAGACATTTCACTTCGCATCCAAGAAGCCTCAGCTCAGAGCTGGAGAAGCTTCTTGGATGAGAAGTGAAATATCTTCAAAGAAAAACCAGAAAGTCCACTTGCCTCTTGAAAAAGCACCTTTGGGACAACCATATTTCTATAGTTATCCAGTGAAGTCTTTCCCAACCTGATGCCGGATATGCAGGGTCTGCAAAGACCTGAATCTCCAGTTTACAAACCCAAATCAGGGACACAGAAAGGAAATGATGTTTTATGAAGTCTTTAGAGATCCTTTTGAATAATGACAAGGAATTTTTCTCTCCCTGCAGTCTGCCTTTATGTCAACAAGCAAGCGAATGTGGGGCCATACCTTGAGCGAAAGAGAATACAGCAACTCCCAGATCATTTTGGACCTGAACGACCTTCCATGGTGCTACAGCAGGCAGTTCAAGCATGCATTGATTGTGCCCACCAGCAAAAGACTGTCTTCTCACTTGTCAAGCAGGGCTATGGCGCTGAAATGGTGTCAGGTAAAACTGGAGACAGTGTATTGCAGTAAATGTATTTCTGCTTTCAGGAATGCTAACCAGGGTCATGGGCTTTGGATAGTTTTCTCTCCAACGTTCATTAATAAAAATGATTAATAGTAGAGTTGGTAGAGCTTTGTTTGCCTGTAATGATATTCCCCTGCATCCATTCCATATTTGAGAAAGTCTGGGTTGGTTGTAAGTTGCCTAAAGTCACCTCTAGGAGAGATGGGTGGCATATAAATTTAATAAATGAATATGTAGAACAAAGTCCAAAAAACTGTTCACCAATGGAAATTCATCTCCACTTTGAGCTGTCATGCAGTAAACATATAAAAAGAGTCAGTATTTTTTGCATTTCCAATCCATCTGATTTCTTTCTTCAACTTGTTTCTGTGCCCCATGCCTGTGTGTCTGTGACAATGAATAATTATGTAATTCCACATTTATAATGTGCCATTGTTTAAGGTAAAGCGTTGAATGTGGCTATATGAAAAAGTACTTTTCTTGTTTGTTCTCTTTCCCAATCTATCTTACAATCCTTGGATTTCTTGATAGTATCCTAGTAGTATTGCACTAATCAGCTCTTACTCTACTCAGTTTATTGACATAAACTAAGGTCAAGCAGGTACAGTCAGCTGCTGTGACAAAAGCAGCCATTTTATCTACCCTCAGCCACAGAAACTCACCGGGTGACTTTGGCCCATTCTCTCTCAACCCAACCGACTCCAAGGGTTGTTGTGAAAGAAAATGGGAGTAGGGTATGTTGCATCTTGTGTTTGGAGCCTCTGACTGAAAATGAAATGAGATATAAATCAAATACATACATGCATACATTACTCTGATGAAAAAATCATCAGCGAGCACTCAAACTGCTATCCCTCAGATCATATTCTTTTTAAGAGATATTATGTACTTATTATACAATACTGGGATATTAGGATACTGGCTTCTGTTTTTTGAAGTGTTTTAATCTATATTTCATGGTTTTAAAAATTAATCATATTTATAAAAGTTTTGAAATACATGTCTATGGAGATTCTCAGTCATTCAGGTCATGGTTGTCCCAAAGTGCTTTTTCAAAAGGCAACTGGACTTTCTGGTTTTTTCTTTGAAAACATTTCGGTTCTCATCCAAGAAGCTTCTTCAGCTCATTACTGTATTTTGAAATACAGTAATGAATCACAATATTTATATCATCCTTTTCAAAATACAGATGGAAATATGCTTTAAGAAATATTTTTTTTGAAATATTGACAATTATCTTCTCCATTAAATCTCTTTTACTCCACTACAAGACTTGTCATGTTGTGCAATTCTAAGCTTTATCCCACAGTACAACATTTATTTATATTCTGTTTTCATTTTCGTTTCCCCTCTGGGCATTTTGATCTTATTTGCACCTGTGCTGAAAGAACAAAAAGCTAAACATACACATACAAAAATTACTTCAGCTGAATCCTGAAAATATGCCAGGTTGTTATATCTAGTAAAATTATTATTATTTTCTTGTATGGCTAAGACTGAATTGCTATAAACATGAATGCAGTGGCAGTTCAAAGCTTCTGATTAGATTCAGTTCAATGTAGCAAAGGTGAAATATAACTTCTGTTTTTAAGATCTCTGGCATCTTTTTTATTTCCATCAAAATTGACAGAATTGAGGAACCACTAGTATAAGCTCCAGCTTCTCCTACCACAACTCTAAAATGGTAACATTTCAATAACATAAATGAACATGGAAAATGTATAGTTTAGCAACTGTTGATAGTGTAAAAATTGCTATGCTGACAGGACATCATATTAGGCTGATGTAGGCCATAATTTCATTATGCCAATGATGGGGAAGAGCCATACTCAGTCAAAGGGACATCAGCTTGCTTTGCATGTGAGACTGTAACTACTGTAACAATCTACTTTTCTTTTTCTCTCTCTCCATCAGTTTCTGCCTCTTTTGAAGGAAAACAGCACCTCTTGAGTCTCCCAGTTGTGAACAGTATTGGTTACGTTTTGCGATTCCTCAAAAAGCTTTGCCGTAACTTATTATGTGACAATCTTTTCAGCAACCAGCCTTTTCCACAATATAATACTTCTGAAAACCCAGAAGAGTATGAAAATGGACAGATGGAATCAGGTAAGTTTAAGAGCTATAAAAATACGAATCTTCCAAGAGTGACCCAATTGGTGTAGTGGTAAGGTATCGGGCTAGAAACAGGGGGACTGTAAGTTCTAGTCCTGCCCTAGCCACAAAGCCAACTGGGTGACCTTGGGCCAGTCATTTTCTCTCAGCCCTGGAAGGAGGCAATGGCAGACCATTTCTGAACTAGCTTGCCAAGAAAGGTGTAGGGACTTATCCAGGCAGGGTCTAAGAATCAGGCATGACTGAATGGAAGGAAAAAAGATTCCACTATAAGTTAGTTCCAATTGACTATTTGACTATTACATCATAACAAAATATATAATGCTGCTTTTTGCTCTTCACCAACTAAAATTCTTTTCATACATATTTAAGTTGCATCTCAAATCAGATGTGATATAGGAGAACTCTGATTCAGTCTTAACTTCTAAAATATATATAGGGGTTCGGCTTTTGGGGGGGGGAACATTTTGATTGCAGCAGCATATGGAAGAGTTTTGGCTGTTCTGATGCATGGTGGTTTCCAGCTCTAAGTTTCTAAAAAAGGCATTTAGTTCAAAGCTAGGGGAAAGAATAGGTACTGTCATATAATTAAAATTTTCTTCGAGTTGTGTTTCTATAAAGTTTCCTTTGCAATAATAAGGTAGTACTTTGCCATTAGTTTGCATATAGTTCATTTTTCAAGCTGGCCCCAGTCCAGAGGTCTCCTACCAAAGGAATTTTGGATTTGACCCTGCTTATTTTTTGAGATGAGCCAATGTTAGCTAGGTGCTGCCTCCTTATTTAGATTTTCTTGCCAGCATTTTTTGTCAATTATAGAATTAATGTCAGTTTCAGGAAAGGAAAGGAAAGAGAATTTAACTGAGGACTCCTTTACCTGTCACAGACAGTGCACTCGTCAAGTGAAAACACCAGAGGTGGGTGGGTGGGGGGTTCATAGAAATTTTTACCCAGCTATCCATTTTTCATTGCAAATTGTGATGAAATATCAACGGGCCTTGGGAACAGAGGGGAGAGAGCCCTGGTAAAGGAGAAAACACAGGGAATTAAGGTAAAGATTCCTTAAAGATAAGGCAGAAATGTGAGAAGGAGCTATAAAGTAATTCTGTCTTAAGTATACTAGATGTAATTTGAGCTGGAGAACTAGTTGGGAGACTTTCAAGCTCGAGATCAATATTTTCCTGAGTGGCCTCAGGAAACAAAAACCATTTGGGTTTCTGGGGTCAGCTTTATTGATAACAGAGTATTGTAGCAAAATCTTGTCCCTGTCTGGTTTGGAATGGCATGAAGACATGTAGGAGAAAGCTGAGGATGAACTGAAGAGTAGTCAGAGTGACAGTGAGAAGAAGTAGCACTAGTGAGGAAGGGCTGTGGGGAACAACAGAAAGAGTTATAAAGATTATGAAAAAGGAATAGAAGGGAATGTTTGTGATGTGTGTATAAGAGAAAAAGTGTTAAATTCTTTTTAAAATAATGTAGGTAATTGGAGTACATGAATTTTGCTGGAGGATGAATTAAGACTATTTTTGAAGTGATTCAAAATAACAAAACCTTTGGAAACAAATTGGGTCATAGGTTCTGCTCTCTTCCATATTTTGTGTGTGTGTGTGAGAGAGAGAGAGGGGGGGGAGAGATTTTTCTTGAAATTCAATATAACTGTTGGCCTTTCTGTGAAATGTGTTTTTGTTAAAGTAAAAAGAAATCTAATTTCAACAGCATTTGTGTTATTCATGTTAGGCCTTGCTTCTGCCATTTAGACTGTATTTAGACTTCTAGGCAAATATAATTTGAGAGATAGGGCTTATTTTTTCTTTCTATGTCATCTTCAGGTTTGCCAAGTATGGAATCTCTCTTAGAACGTGCTGGCAAAGGAGGCTATGAAATTTAATGTCATTATTTTCTTTTATCCAAACTATAAAATGCATTAAATGCTTTGAGGAATGCATTAAAAACATATTTTAATGGCTCAACATAATCATCCATTGTGTCTTTTACCTGACTTCGAAGTGTTCTTCTGAAGGCAGAAAAACACAACAAACAGAATTTGAGTTCAGTTCCCTGTATGCTACAAATGTGCTGTTTTAGTCTTCCTTTCAGTTAGTCCTGTAGCATTCAATCTTCTTTCCCCCATATAATAATTGCTACACATAGCTTTGGAATGAAGTCAAAATAAATGGTTTTTATGGTTATCAGTATTTCTGGCTTTGGTTCGTCATTTAATTACCTGCACAATTCATTTATTGCCTCATAGATTCTTCTGCCTGGAACATTATCCTTTAAACAATACATAAAATATTAAGGTCAGGCTTAAAGGGGGAATGGGAGATCTGTGCAATCTAGTCAACCACAACAGTATTTAATAGAAAGCTATTTGCCTGTCTAAAGCAGTTTGTGAAGGCTAGATTGTCTCCAGCATTTGAAATGAGATGCAGTGGGATGATTTGAGAGACAGATTTTTCATTCTTTGTGAAAGCTGAGCTCCAGTCAAAAGTGGGGTATGGGTCCTGCTGCCTCTGCCTCCCCTGGACAGGTCTTGAATGACAACAATACAGTCAAGGGACAGGCTATTACAAGGGCAACTGCAAGAGAGTCAAAAAAAAAGTCAAGATGGTGTCTGTGACTACATGATTAAACACCCTTATCTTTTTTATACGGAACCAGTGGTGGGATTCAGCTGGTTCGCACAGGTTCAGGCAAATTGGTTGTTAAATTACCCACCCTCCCACTATCAAAGTGGATCCTGGGTGCTGCGCTGCAATGGAGAAACAGGCAATGGAGCTGCCTGCGCAAGGGAAGGAAAAGACCGCTTTTCCGCTTTCTTCTCCCTACTCTTCCTCCTCCCCTTGTGCCGGCTGCTCTGTTGCCTGTTTCTCCATTGCAGCGCAGCACTTTGATAGCGTTGGTGGGCGGTGTAATTTAACAACTGGTTCACCCAGGGTCAGGTTGGCTGTCGCAGGAGACTCATCCCACATGTGCGGTGGAGCTGGAGCATCGGGATGGGCCATGCCTTCCACGACAGCCAACCTAACCCTGGGCAAACTGTTTGTTAAATTATTTGAATCCCACCACTGTAAGGAACACACATGCAACACACATATCAAAAGGGTAGGCTTTCAATTCAGCAGGCACAGAGGCCAGCTTCACTCTTTTGAATGCTTTGTGTCGCCCGTCCTCCCCGACACTCCTCTCTTGTGACCACAGCATAAAGTATCATTTTGTAAACATGTTTCAGTGGTGGGTTTCAATTTTTTTACTACTGGTTCTGTGGGCGTGGCTTGGTGGGCATGGCATGGCTTGATTGGCATGGCGTGGTGGGTGTGGCAGGGGAAGGATACTGTAAAATCTCCATTCCCTCCCCAATCCAGGGGAAGGTTACTTGCTTAATGCATTGTAAGCCGCCCTGAGTCTCCGGAGAAGGGCGGCATATAAATTAAAGCAAAAAAAAAAAAAAAAAAAAAAATCCCCATTTCCTCCTGATCAGCTGGGACTTGGGAGGCAGAGAATAGATAGGGGTGGGGCCAGTCAGAATTTTTACTACCGGTTCTCCGAACTACTCAAAATTTCCACTATCGGTTCTCCAGAACTGGTCAGAACCTGCTGAAACCCTCCTCTGACATGTTCCTTATACAAACCAGACACATTAATGTTCTCTGTTGCTTTCAGTTGATGGCAGATATGCTGAGTTCTTCTGATGTTACAGGAGAAGCTTCTTCGGTAGATTTCAGACCAGATTGATCAGTTTTGTTAATACATGAGGGTTTTCTTTTTAATCTTGTAATGCATACACACAGTATATCATTTTCACAACGTTTTTTGAACTAGGAGACACTGGACTACTGATCATGCATTCCGAAAAGTAGCTGTGACAGGAAGAATGGTATGAGGATGCAGTGGTTAGAATGCAATATTGCAGGTTAACTCTGCTGACTGCCAGCAGTTCGATTCTGACTGGCTCAAGGTGGACTCAGCCTTCCAAGATTGGTAAAATGAGGACCCAGATTGTTGGGGGCAACATGCTGACTCTGTTAAGCACTTAGAGAGGACTGTAAAGCACTTTGAAGCTGTATATAAGTCTAAGTGCTATTGATACTGCTAAATACAGGAAAACATTGTTATCATCTTATGAAATAGATAAACAGTAAAGCTTTGAAAGCTGCAGGTTGTTCAGGAAGCACAGGTTGAGTCAGGAGTGGCAGCTGCATAATCTAGAATAATTCAAAAGCAGCTAATATCCCAGGCAGATGCTGGCTAAAATAGAGCCTAAGACAGATAACAAGGTTCCCTTCCTCCCTGTGTTATTTATTAACCCTCTGGAATCTGGCTCGCACCTCTATAGTTTGCCTGGTTAGCCATAGTTAAAATGAAGAGGGAACCCAACATGTGGCTCTGAACACAGGTAATGTTTAGATAAAACACATTCAAAGCTACATCTTTCAACACTATTTAAATGTTACTGAATATAAATAGTGAACCCCACATTCATTAAATTAGATAACATGATACATAATGCCTGTCTGTCTGTTTTCCACCTGAAAGAAATAGCAAATAGATTGACTAATCCCACTCTGGCCCATTTCCTAACAATAAGGAAAGCAGCAATAAGGAAAGCAGAAGATATCCAAGGGAAGAAGACTATAGGGCATTGAAAAATGGGGGGTCATCCCATGACTCCAATTACCTGTTCCCCTACCTTCCTTCTTAATCTCCAGATTAATACTGGTTGCATTGAAATGAATGGTCTTTCAATATTAGCTCATGAGATAGCATAAGCCTTTATTCTGATTTCCCCAAAGGCATCTGGTGAGAACAGAAGGTTGGACCAAGTGACCCTTTGCTTATATCCAGCACAATATTTTTATATTGGCTATATTGCTTAGTAACTAGGGGTTTTTTTTTTTGGACCGTGGAAAATATAGTAATGGAGAAGGAAAAAAGATAAAGGAGAAAACAATGTTATAACCCCAAATGAATGCCAGGCCTGCTAGTTCCTATAGTTTGCTTCCAAGAAAAATTTAGAGCAGCCTTTCTGCCTCCAGATATGTAAGACTACAACATCCATCTCCTAAACTAGCACATTAGTCCCGATCTTGAGAGCAAAGGGAGATTCATTTGAATCACCACATTTAGAGGGAGAAGGCTGTTACAGAGACGGCTAACACAAACATGGGAATATGGTCAGTTGCCAAATTGATGAACCCTTCACCCTAGCCTCAGCATGTGACTTTCAAATTTGCATATAATATTATGAAGACGCTTTCTTATCAGAGAGAAATCATCTACCGAGAAAAGAGAGATCTCCATTTGCTCCTGTAGCAAATTCTAAATCCCCAGGCAGTCTTTGTTTCTTTATTGTTTTAATGTGCATGTGCAGAAAATGTGATAACATTCTGGACATAATGCACAGTCTAGTTCATTCGTGTTTCTGAAATTAAACTGTCAAGAGCTATCTTCCCTGGTAGCATTTTAATGACTAATATTTTTGTCATAATGGCTTGCTAATGCCAATGAATAAAAGAAAAGACTATAGTGGTGCAGAGAACACTGATGGAAAATAAAATTTGAAATATTATAACCCCTGCTTTTTTTTTTTTTTATCAGTGTATCAGTATTTTGCAGCAGCAAGTATCTGGGAATTAGTGTTCAAGTGTAAGGTGAAAGATAAGAAGCCTCTCCAATATTTCCACGGGTCCCACTCTTTGATTCTGCTTCCCATAATTATAGTATCATGCCTAAAGCATTCTAAAATAGTAACTTACACCAAGATGTTTCAAGCTGTGTTTCACAGAACTCCATAAAAACTTGATGAGACTAAAGGCAAAGGAAACCTCAATCCACCCAGACAGTTTTCCATCATTAGGGCTTTGCCTCTTGAGCCTGGATCCCGGGATTTTTTAATTTTTTAATAAACAGGTTTTACATTCTGAAAAAGTTTGAAAACTCTAAATTAGGCAACTGCTGCCAAGAGTCACCTCAGCTTCCTCTCCTGTAATTTGCTAACAAAGCCCCATTTCAAATAATAAGACATACCAATAAAAAAGCATTTTCTCTGGGGAAGATTAAAGATCTGTCAAAATCCATTCTGCTTATGCTCGTGACTCAAAATCTAGCATGAGGTTTTACCAATGAAGTGCCCCTTTCATGCCTTCCTGTTGTAAGTGCAAGCAAAGAGGAGACTTAATAGTCAGTAATCACCAATCTGCTCTGTGTTTTATTTTGTGCCACGGAGCCAGGATGGGACCTCTGCTCCATCACCCCAGAAAGCTCTTGAACGCCCATATTTATTTAAGCCTAATAATACCTTTTCTGCACATATTCAGATAATCATTCCAAAGCAATTTAAGCTCCGAGTCTCAGATTGACAGTGATGTCAGTATTAATTAATTTCCAAACTAGGTAGCTACTGTCTTAAAAATAAATACCAACTTATTTTAATTATACATCCTTATTAATAATTTGTGTACAGTACAACTCTTTCCATTTGCAGTAGCTCACACTTTAATTTGCTAGTGGATTTAAACTGTCTGCCCGGTCTTTAAAACAGAATTAAAAACAACACGTTTCAAAATCAATTTTGTTGCTTTAGGAAATGGGACCATGTTCCACGATAACCTGATTCTTCTCTTTCAAGCAGAAACAGTTATACCTGAAGATTATCTGGTTGATCCACTGGCTACAAAGCATTACAGCATTGATCCCTCTGATTCAGCATTTAATTGCATGGGATCATTGTACTCTATGAGACAGAGTTCTGGAGAGGGACGGCACGGTGGAGGGTCATCGTCTTCCTGCAGTCATCGTTCTGCTCAAGTGGCTTCAGGAGGCCCATCAACCGCTACTCTGAGGCATCAAACATCAAGCCCAACCAGAAACGGAACCATTCTGGAAGGAAACAGAAATGGTAACATAATGCTTTTCCCTTTCTTGTAATGATTTTATCACCTTGCTGATTTCTGTAGTCTTTATTTCAAGCTTCCTCTTGAGAAAGCAATTGTGTGTGCAGTAATTGCAATCAGATAACAGTAGGATTGTGGCAACAAACCTTGACCCCCCCCCAACCTCTGGGCAGTAACTGTGCAAGGATGGAAACTCTGTGTAAAGTCTGCAGACATGCAGGGCTTATTCATGCAATCTAATGCACATACAGTAAGTCCATAGAAGTTATGCTTAGTGCTGGAACATAAACCCACACAAAGTACACAGTAACTGTATAAGTCACAATTATGACAGTAACTTCAGATTTCCCATTCAATTCTTTTGACTGCTCTGGTGAAAACAATGATTTAGGACTCTAATTTAGCTCCTTTTGCGTTTCATGTAATAGTGGAACATTTCTGAAGTTTACATATTATTTCTTTCTTATAAACCAGATATCACCAAGATGTTATTTTATAAAGACGCTGGGCAGTACTGAATGTAGCCCTATCTATCTGTGCTCTGCTCTGCTCTGAGGTTGGAAAAGGTAGAGTAGGAATCTCATACCTGGGAGCTACTAAAGATGCCTGATGGGGTCAGTTAAACATAATAGCTTAGAATAGTTTAGAATAACAGAGTTGGAAGGGATCTTGGAGATCTTCTAGTCCAAACCCCTGCTTAGGCAGGAAACCCTACAGCAGTTCAGACAAATGGTTATCTAATCTCTTCTTAAAAACTTCCAGTGTTGGAGCATTCACAACTTCTGGAGGCAAGTTATTCCACTGATTAATTGTTCTAACTGTCAGGAAATTTCTCCTTAGTTCTAGGTTGCTTCTCTCCGTAATTAGTTTCCACCCATTGCTTCTTGTCCTGACCTCAGATGCTTTGGAGAATAGCTTGACTCCCTCTTCTTTGTGGCAACCCCTGAGATATTGGAACACTGCTATCATGTCTCCCCTAGTCCTTCTTTTCATAAGACTAGACATATCCAGTTCCAGCAACCGTTCTTTATATGTTCTATCCTCGAGTCCCCTAATCATCTTTGTTGCTCTTCTCTGCACTCTTTCTAGAGTCTCAACATCTTTTTTACATTGTGGTGACCAAAATTGGATGCAGTATTCCAAGTGTGGCCTTACCAAGGCATTATAAAGTGGTATTAACACTTCACGTGATCTTGATTTTATCCCTCTGTTTATGCAGCCTAGAACTGTGTTGGGTTTTTTGGCAGCTGCAGCACACTGCTGGCTCATATTTAAATAGTTGTCCACTAGGACTCCAAGATCCTTCTCACAGTCACAACTATTGAGCAAGGTACCACATATACTGTACCTGTGCATTTTTTTTTTGCCTAAATGTAGAACCTTTTTTCACTATTGAATTTCATTTTGTTAGATAGCATCCAATGTTCAAGTCTGTCAAGATCCTTCTGTATCTTAAGCCTATTCTTATAATAAGACATGCATTGTTGATGTACCTATTTAACTTCCCTGCAAGCCCCCCCCCTTAATCTTATTATGGAAGAAAATAACATTGTAAATAAGAACATTTAAAAGTTCAGACATGAGATTCAGATATCAACTATCATTTGAAAATAATAAGCAACTTTTTTTCAAAATGAAGGAAAATTGGATCCTATTGAATGAATATAGTACTCCCCTCCCAGTCTACCTGTACAATAGAGAGGGGAATCTTTAGCCTTTCAGAGATTGATGGGATCTATTATATCAGTTGAGGCTAATGGGGGATGAAATCCCTTCTGCTGTTTGAAGGCAGAAGGAAACTTATTAAAATAGGATTACCAAAAATCCAAATGGCCATTAGATGGCAGCAAAGAATTAGAGTTTTCTGTATTTTCTTATTCCACTGCCACCTATGTCTGGTTTTTTTGTAGCCAGGATCTTGAATCAGACAATATAAACAGATATTATGAGGTCTTTGGTGCTGTCTGAGGTTGGTGGTTTTCTTGCAGGCATTTCATTGCCAAACTAGGTAACAACATCAATGCACCAAACTCAGAGAACACCCAGGACCCCACACTTCAACCCTGAGCTACAAATATTCTCTTCTATTGGTTAAACAGATATTGTGCAGCTAAGGAGCAGATTTTGCTGCTACAATAAATTTCTCTCATTGGCAAGTGACCTGCCCCACAGCTTGTTCACACAATGTTCTTGCTAGATACATTTCCATCAGGAGGTAATCAATAATTAATCCTCAGACGAGATAAGAAACAGACCGGAATTATCCTCTCTCTACTCCTACTACCTACCATGCCTAAAATCCTAAGCCACGAGGAAAGGAGTTGATAAAACAAGAGATAACTTCAGTATAAGAACCCAATGTTATCATTTAGCCTAATGGTAACAAGATTTTAAATTACATTTACGTATCACCAAAATTAATGCAACTTCTGACCAGATAAAATCAGTTTTGCTACCCAAGAGAAAACATAAGTCACTAAAACTTAACTTTCCTAAAGGTACAAGCATCTTTTTAAAAAGAGAGTTAATCTGTTGTAGTAGTTAAGGCTTCAGGCTAGAAACTAGATTACTGTGATTTCTATACATAGCTATCATTGAAGCCTGCTGGATGACTTTTGGCCAATCACTTTCTCTTACCCCTAAGAAGAAGGCAAGAGCAAACCACTTCTGAAAAATGTTGCCAAAGAAAACTGCACAGTCACCAAGTTTAAATAATGATCTGAAGGCACATGCACACAAGATACAAGCATAACCCTAATACATTCTGCCTGGAGACTGGAATTCTGCTCCAACTCCCTTCTTGGAACACACAGGACTCAAGATTTCAGTTGGCACCACATTCAGAAGCCTGATCAGCGCAGCCCAAATCTCTTCTGATTTTCAGGCTGCCATGCACTGAGCAACAAAGGAGGCAGGAGAATTTCTCCTTGAACTGTGCGCTTTTAAATGGCAGGTGATATGCAGAAATGATGTGCTCATGCTGCATAGTGTTTTCTGGTAGTATGAAGGGGATCCAGAATCTGCTGCAATGTGAATGCTATAGAACTCTCTTACCTCCAGGGAAACTGAGTCCCAGGTGAGCAATCACACACCTATAAAGACAGAACAACCAGCTGTTTCTAAGCCATGAGCTGAGAAAGCAAGACAAAACAGATCTTGTTCACTAGGCCAAAGAGTTACATTGAGTAACTGCCCAAGAGATGGACTGAGAAAGTAAAATGGAAGAAGTTGACCAAAGCTTTAATTATTTGCAGCACTTCGGTCTTTAGGATTTGGCCTAGAGGAGATAGTCATTCCATTCATCAATACTAGCTGCTATATTTTCTGCAGAGTTGATTATGTTGACTCTTTCTTCTTGTGGTTATTGTAAGTCTGCAATTCCCATTCTTCAAAAAAAAAAAAAAAAAAGGAAACTTTGAGAAGTTCATTGCATGGAGTGAAGGCACACTAAGATCAGTCACTGTGCTGTTCTTTACAGGGGGAGAAAAGCAGCATTAATATGGGAGCTCTTGAAATGCTGTGAGTCAAGTTGCTAAATTCTAACTTCATGCAGCTTCTGATTCCCAATAATAGGGGTGTTTATGTAAATCCAAATCTGCTAGTTGATGTTATCACGTTCTGTGTACACTGTTTAAGAATGGATAAATAGGTTCCCTTTCCTTTTGAAATGCTTTCTAAGTTTTTAAGCACCCCATAGTTCATTTACATTTTTCCTTCCCACCTGCCAAAGCCAGGAAATTGGATTCTATCTAAATTATGATCTTTATGGGTAATTATTGGTGGCAAACAGTCCTCTCTCTTTGTAATTTGAGTATTCTTTATCATCTTGATTAATTCTGATGACAAGTGCCCTAGGATACCTATGACATGTGAGAGATGAGATTGTTATTAATGTATTTAATCCCTGGTGTGAATAATTTCAGATGCATAAATGCAGGATTTATATACAGGAAGAACTCCTACAGCAAGAAAAAAAAAGCAAAACAAAAAATAACTGCATACAATATTCATGAAGAAGAGTGGTGTCAACCAGTTTTGCATTCGTTCTGTTGACTATCAATTATAACTCAGTTCATGATGTTGAATTCAGTTTCTTAAAGTCTTTGTGATGCGAGTCCAAAATTCTCCTGGAAGGCCTTTTATGGAATTTATTTTCTGGGTTAGTTTATAAGCAAACAGCTGGGCTTATTTTGTTCATTTTTTTTTTTTGGCTTTTTTGAGTTTAACATTTAAAGCATGTAAATGCCAAATAGAGGAAATCTTAGGAGTAAGACTATCTTTATCAGTATATTGCAGAAATGGACCTTATGTTCATAAACCTTGATCACTGTAATCTCTTATAATCTCTATTTATTTAACACTTTACACTGTGCTTCTGGGTCTTTCACTTCTTAATAATATATTTGAGTCTCTTGGCTCTCCTGTACTTCATCTACTAGACATTTCAATTCCTCCATATCTCTCACACCCTTAATTTGTCTCTTACTTACTTACATTGTATAATGCTCTGTCAGACATTCTGATGCTGCTTTGTACAGCAGTAGTAGAGCAGAAACATAGAAAACTGCAATGTAGAATATCAGGCCATTGGTCTGCTTTTTTTCAGAACTGTTAACATTACCCATCACAGTTCTGCAGTCTCAAACAGGACAATGAGTTCCTGCTTTACAAAGAGAAGATGGAAATTGCATCTGGAGTCTTCAGTGGGCTGCTATCTACAGGGATCCTGCCCTTCCTTGACTCTTATCAATGATATACATCCATGCTGATATCCAGATAGTTCTTGTAGCGGACCACAGACCAGGCAGGCTAACGCAAAGTTAACCCTGTTACAATTCCTGAAGATATTTTGCATTAATGGCTACTCCATCTCCGGTTTTGTGCTAAAAAGTTAAGCTAGAGGTTTCCTGAAAATTGCTTTCCAGTAGCTACTTAGGATTGATAATCCAAATAGTATCATATAGAGGGCCACATAGCCAATTTGATGAATTGGAATTACAGAGAA